TTTGAAGAGATGCAAATACATTTCCATTATGCAGTGAAATTGCTTTGAGGCTAGTTTTAGATGAATCAATGAATATGCACCATTCTCATGAATCATATTCATTTCAAAGCACTTCATGAGACCATGAGCATCATTACAATAAACCAGGTATCCCTCTTTTGAGAAAACTAAGTAAATTCCCTCTCTCAATGCTGTACCATGAAAACGAGATCACAGACTATAGCAGGGTTTGTCACAGGCTAGCTAAGTCTCTTACTAGGTCGTTGAGCTCACTCTGAGTAAAAAGTTAAGGTCCCTTGTCAACATAAAAATCTGAACTAGATTCATTCTGGGAAGCAAATGCATCTGAGTCTTCTGACTCACTTAGGATTTCATCTAAATTAGAAAGTAGCTGTGGAATTGGCATTTCTGAACCATGAGACACTGGCTGAATAGCTGAGTCAAGGGTAGGGTAAAATATTTTATTATATTTTTTGTATTATTTCACATTTACAGAACAGAAATAGCTGTCAGTTGTATGATTTTTCTGTTCACGTCATATCATGGGAATGCTGAAACAAAATGAGTTTTTCTTACCCTTAAACCACTAACAAAGATCTTTCTTGCAATTTCTGTACACTTAATGCCGTGCCAATGTTTTGAATAGATCTCCAAGTTTCAATTTGAAATACGCAAAATAAACTTTCTTCACATACTCACTTATGATTCTTTGTTGACTTTTTACTATCTGTTCATCACATTTTCACAGACGCTATCAGGAGGAATTACACAACCTCCGCAAATCATATTTCATAAATAAAATAATAATCACAGTATCATTTAAATGCTCTGTATAATATCTACATGCGATTTTGCTGCAGCCCTCCACACACCAATTTCATACCTGATAAGAGACTATTAAAGAGAAGTCTGCAATTTTAAAATTTTATGTGATACAAAATATTTAATTCCCATTAGTTTCCAAATACATGTTCTTATTTTCTTGCTTAATTCTAAGATCTGGTCCTTCCAGCTCAGATTTTGATCAAACGTTACACCTAAATACTTCAATTTGCTTACAGAAATAATTATATTATGACATTGACAGTTCTTAAAGTCTTCGTGTAGGCAGACAGCTTTGTGAAAGAATATTTTAACTTAGGCTCTTGCAATTTTTGGAGCTGTGATATGCAGTATTCTGGTCTTTTTCTCATTTATTATTAATCCTTTATCATGGTACCAGTTTTGGAGTATTCCAAATTTCTCCTATAACTCCATTTATGCCTTCTTTTGGTCTCTGTTTATAGATAACAACAACACCAACAACTACTACTACAACTCCACCACCAACACCAACACCAACAACAACCACAACCACAAAAACAACCACAACACAAACACCAACCACAACACAAACACCAACCACAACACCAACACCAACCACAACACCAACACCAACCACACCAACACCAACACCAACCACAACACCAACCACAAACACCAACACCAACCACAAACACCAACACCAACCTCAACACAAACACCACCAACAACACAAACATCACCAACAACACAACCACCAACGCCACCAGCAACACCACCACCACCACCACCACCACCAACATCATCACCACCACCTCCACCACCAACAACAACAACACCAACACCAACAAAAACAACAATAGCACAACAACAACAACCACAACTACAACAACAACTACAGATAACATTACTTGTAAGATAATAAGAAGAGTAATACTAACAGTATATGATAACAATTATACTAACAGCTACATATGATTTAACAGTATTAGCTTATTCCTTGATTAAATCTTGAAATGGTGAGGAGGAGGCAGGTTATGGCCAGATTTTTTCCTATTTCCACCCCCTAGTCCTTCTGCAGCACCTGAAATCACATTGCACGTGTTAGTCATTGAAGTATTCCTGAATGCTGTAAAAAAGTCTTTCCCTGATGAAGTGTTAGAGTTTTTTCTTGAAGTTGTACTAGCCTGTTGTGTTTCTCAGATGTATTGGTAATTTGTTGAAGAATTGTGTACCTGAAGAGAACGTACTCTTTTGGTATAATGTGCTCATACACATTAGTTGACGAAGGTTACATGTTTGCCTTGTGTTATAGGGGTGTAAGCTTGAGTTAAATTTGTAGAGTATGTCATTGTTTACTAGATTTTTCTTTACAAACATAATAACTTCATAAATAAAAATACAAGGCAGTGGAAGTATGTTAAGCATTTTGAAATGAGGTTTGCAGGACTCTGTTCTTTTTGTATTTGTTATTGTTCAAATTATTCTCTTTTTTCTTTTGAATGTTTGTTTAGCCTCTGGTGCTTGGCCCCATACTATTATCCTGTATTTGAGAATAGAGTGCACATTTGCTAAGTACACTGTTTGTGCTCTCTCAATGGTGCTGTTTTTTAATATTATTCTAATAGCATAATCAAGTTTGCTCAATTTTGAACAACAATCTTCTAGGTGTGAGTTCCATTTGAGGTTGGATTGTATGGTGATTTCGAGAAATTTTGTTGTAGAACGTCAATATCCAAAATCCAATTATACAAATCACTAATTATCCTAATCAATGATACAATATTTTGCTGCATACAGATGAGTTATTTCTTCCAAACAACATGCTCATCAAGATGTTTCAACTAAAATAGGGTATGCACATATACAGTGTCCCTGTGTAATTTTCATTCAAAATCTTTTTTCTGATTTCTTTTTATATTTACAGTTACATTGTTTACAGTTTTCTTTACCTTTTGTTTGTTTAACTTAAGTTTGCATATTGAAGTTTGAGTTATTCTCTTTTATGTCTTTTTTACTTAATTTCAGAGCTTTGATCAGTCATCCAAATTTCTGTTTATCTTTATCTGCTTTGTCCCTATTTAATTTGTATAATTAAGACAGTTCTACTGTACATTGTTTAGTATCTAGAATTTTCTTTCTGTTTCTATTCAAAACTAAATTTTTTGCACAATCTTGGGCCAAGTTAGCAAGAAAAGAATGTGAAATTACTCAAAAGAAGAAGAAGAAGCAGGAGGAGAAGAACAATTTATTTCAAATTGTTGTACTTCTCATTTCTTCCTGAGTGGTTTTGCATTTACACTTAATTATTTTTATTGTAGATATCCTGACTATCGAGAACCTCCTGAATCAAATAACAAATATGACAAGACTGCCATGTACTGGCATGTATTGGCAGCCAGATTGGCTTTTGTAGTTGTCTTTGAGGTTTGTTAATAGTTAAATAAATTATTTGAATTCATTTTGTACTTTATTGACAGTATTTAATGTCTTTTTTTTCTTTCTCCCAGAATGTTGTTGCTGTGGTTATGATTTTGGTACGCTGGGGAATTCCGGATATGGCAGGAGAGTTACGTGACCAGATAAGAAGAGAAGCGTATATTACAAATGAGATCATCATAAAACAAGAAGCAATGCGAGCCTTAGGTTTGTCTCCCACAGACGATATCCTACTCCATGAAGGACGAGGAAAAGTAAGTAAATTTGGAGGTCTTGAGCGGAGACTGTGGCATGAGTACTCTAGCTCAGAACTTGATCTCATAATGATGGAAAAGGAGAATGGTGCAATGAACAGGTTTTATTCCTCAGGTGGTGGAGAAAGTTCCACTGATCATCCAGTTATGGTTTAAGTTGTGTACTTATAAACACTGTACCAAAATTTACTTTTAACTATCCTTAATGTTGTACACACACATGCCTATATATTATCTAATGTAGAGTACAGGCCAATGAATCTTCGTATATAAATATTATGAATTAAAGGTGGTTATCTGTTTAGAGGAAGTATTGTTGACTTTGTAAGTTATATGCATGTAATTTGAGAATTTGAAACCTGTTATGAACCTGTGTTGGAGAAATGCTTTGGTTACTTAGTTCTTTACCTATCAACAGACTTGTATCTTGTATTTGGATTAGAAAGTTTGGGACTAAAATTTGTACTTAAGACATGTTACTTGTAAGTATGTTTTCCTCTTCTTTGTCTGTGCACCTTTTGGGGCCTCCATGTCATTCTGAGATTAATTACTCAAGGTGCAAGCAATAGTGTTCTCCCCTTCCATCATGCCAATATGGCTTGTGAGCCCACATCAGTCATTCTTTGTTCCTTTGGACAAGTATATCTTATGAACTCTTCATGCTTAGATCTGAATTAGAGGAAGGTAGCTAGGTTACACCTAGATGGTGCAGATGCTTTCTGGAGAAGGATTCTAGAGACTGTCTGCTCTGATCCTTAGTTTTCCTTGGTTCCTGCGATCAACACCAGGTGGATGCTGGAGCAGTACCCTAACAAATGGGCTATGTGCAATTCTTCTTTCTCTTCCTTGTCCTGACCTCACACCATACTTACACACACTTACACTTACACTTACATGCACTACACTACCATGCACGCCAGGAGACCAGTCAGGAGCTTAGAGTTTGTTCCAGCTGTAGTTGTGCCCCTCTGGTTGGAAATGCCTGGTTGAGGAAATCTTGCAGGCTGATATGTAGGTCAGTTTTGGATGTCCCCATTCAGCACAGGAAGTCACTGCCACCTCCTGCAATAAAACACTTACAAGACTAATGACTTTAGCAGTTGACTTGCTCATAATCACTAATCAATCAATCTAAATCTTCCCCCAGGAACTTGGAACCAAATGCCAATGTATTAGCTAGTCAGTTTGTTACTTCTCAGTAGTCATGCCCAATTTTATGCAAATTTTATTTTGTTTGACTTTGTCTAACAAAATAAAATGTGCATAAAATTTATATAGAATAATTGCAAGTACTATGTATCCTTCCTCTGCAATGATCTCAAATGATATTTTCATAAAATGACTTCACTAATCTTGAAAAATAAATTATATTTGCACAAATAGGATTTAGAGAAATGTTTAACATAATCAAAATTTCATACAATTTTCAAGTAATATAAAATTTAAGTATGAAATTCAAATAGAGAAATCTGGAGGAAAAATAATACATAAAGGGTTTGCTAAACGGTTGTTTTATTTTTAATATTAGATAGAGGAAAACTATGCATACTATGAGAAAGTTATACAAGAATAGACCATGTATGATGGATTTGTAGGAAAATTCAAGAGCAATACAGAATCTCATTGGGTGTTGGTGAAAGTGGACAGTGTTTGTGATATACTATATTTGATACTGAATTGTGCTGACATTTTACATTAAAAAATGTGAATAGCATTGATTTATCTTCTCTAACTGCATAGTTCAATATTTATTGACAATTGTATGTAGAAGGGAGTGATGAAAGAATGAGAAGTGATTGTTGTTAGAAAATTGTGTGAAAAACAGTGAATGTGAATGAATTTTTTTAAATGAGAATAATATCATTTACTTTTTAATATGTTATTTTATTTTTTTATATATACAATAATGTTCGTCTCGAACCAATTAAATATTAGCTTTCAATGTTCGAAACCGTATATTTATTCTTTAAATTTCAAAAATATGAACTCTTCCAAGATGACCAAAAAAGAAAGAAAAAAATTAAATTTGGCTTGAAAACTACCATACTACTCACTGTATTTATATGTCACATATGTTGCTTCCATTGCGGGGCCCTAGAAGAGTGTAATTGATAATAAACTTTCATATGCTAGGGATCTTGTTTTTCTGATCATATAATTACAAAACTTACATATATGAGAATGTGTGTGTGCAATTTTTTAAGTAACTGAAAGTAAATTTGAGATAAATATTTGCTCATTGAGCATTCAGCATGGTTATTGAATATCAACTTCCGTTGTGTTAGCTTTAATTAGAAAATGTTAAGTTAGTTCCATGCTGAAATATTTTCTAGAATATTTTTAAGAAATATTTTAACTTAAAAATTAGATATTATTGTGGCAATGCATTGTTGTCTGTCCTCATCATGTGCTAAGCCATGTTACAGAAAATTTCTAATGGAATATAAAATATTGTTGTACTTTGCATATTTTTCAACAATTTTTATATATATATATGTGATACATTATAATTGTGCCTTTATAAAACACACCAGCCTCTAATGTTATGAAACAAAAGAGTATTTTATGTGTGTTGTTAATTATTAATTCAGGTACTCTCTTCCTCTTATAGTCCCTTCAGGATGTTCAAAGAATGTTAATGAGCATTTAGATTTCAAAGAGGGATTTGGTAGAATTATCTGTTCCTAAAGAGAAATGTGCAAAAGCTAATCTGTTTTACATAATTTAATATATTGGTTGTGTGTGTTTTACATATTTGAATTTACTAGTCAGAGTGCACCAGATCCTATTGCATAACACGTCCTATTTTTCCAGATCCTATTTTGCTCTTTCTTTCCCAATGAGAGAGGGTGTGATAAAGGCAGAATATTAGTTTAACAAAGGAATTGAATGTGGTGCTTATAATTTTTTAGTTGGTAGTGGGTATTCTAATGTTCCTTCCAAATGTTCTATATGTAATAGAAAAATCTAGTCACAGTCAAGTGCCAATTAGTACCTTTTGTTGTACTTGTATATATTTGTGTGTAATTGACATACATTCTTTATTAGAAGAAGTTAAGGCTAATTACTTTATTCAATGCTATTTCTTCACCCAATTTATAATATACTTCCTGAAATATTTTGATCCACAGCTGAAATAATCTTAATATTATTTTTGAGTGCTGTGTTGAAAGTTCATCCTCTGATAAAGCTATTCAATGTTATATAATTTTATTTTATATAAAATTAACCAATATTAAAAAATGTTAAATAGATTGTTAGTTGAAAATATTTTCTCTGTTGATGAAAATTTTGCATACATTCCTTGAAGAACTTTCATGGATTAATGGCTTTTACCACAGATGGATTTTTGTTTTAATATATGAAACATTGAGAATGAGAAAGAGTGATGCCACAAAGAAAAAGGAAATACTGTGGCAAAGAAGCGAAATAGAAAGCTACTTTTTTTTAAAATGTGGCTTAAATCTATATCATTCTCAATGCTTGAAGTGTTTAATTTTATGTTTCTTTGAAGGATTTGCGTTACAAACATTCTTTACGATTTTGTTCTTTTGCTAGCTTATGAGAGTACATTAACAGAAGGTTCAAAATCACATATTTTAGCTGGGCTCCTTTATCAATTAATATCAGAATTTACTGTTCTTGTCTACTGTAAAGAAGCAGTGCACAGATATCATCCATAAAATAGTGTAAAGAAAATTTATTCTTATATTTACCTTAAAGGCAGAGATATATTATTTGGAAAATATAAAATGTATAGAGTAGCATTCTACATGTAAATTTGCACTTCTGAACAATTTGATTTTGTGCTTTCTGTTTGTGAAAAAAGAGCAGAAATTAATGTTCAAGGTTTTTGCTCAAAAATGTATCTCTTAACTTTAACAAGTAGAACTAAAAATGATGTTTTCGAAGGGGAACCAAGATAAACTACATTTACTGTCTGTTGCATGACAGTTAAAAATTGAACATTCTTTAAAGATGTGTGAAAACAATTTGCCATGTCTTGTGCTTATTTTTTCCTTAATTTAAATTATACTGTATTTACCCGAATGTAAGACGAGATTTTATCTGAAATATCTCTTTCGGAAAACATGGGATCACCATAAATTCGCAGTTTAAGCCTAATCGGTTAGGATTTAGTTTTTACATTTACATTCCAAGTCACGAAACTCGTAAATGTTGATGTACTAACAATTATCTGCGAAAACTAAAAATGTCAGGCGTATTTTATACGTAATTGTATACACGGTCGAATTCCCGGCATCTACCGCGAATTTGCCGTTATTCAAACATGTAGTTTTCAATGGACCGGTAAAGTGATAATCTCAAACAAATGACATTGTATCAAGTGAAACGCAAAGTGAAAATGAATAGAACTCGTTTCGCCGAACGCCGAGATTTTGTACATGATGTGATTTACGGGATTGGCGAGGCAGCGCGGACCCTTCCGGCAGCTTCGGCCGCCCCGGCGAGTGCGATTCTGCGTTTTACAAGATACGGAAATGAAAAAAAAAAATGCACATTGATGGAAGTACGTATTCTACAAACAATCTCAGAAAAGGATAATAATAAAATATTTTTTAAGCAAAAACGTTTCAAACTTGGACCCTTTCCGCTATCTCCAAAGTTACCTGTGAAACGCAGTAAGTTCACAACTCTACGAACTATAAACTGCGGGAATTTCAAGTATATTCAGTTAAAGAATGTGAAAGAACTGTTAAAGAATCCGAAACCACGAATAAGAGCGTACAGGAAAATATCTATTGACACAGGTGACGTCCTTTGAAAGCCTTCATAAGAACGCAAAATTCTACGCGCAAAACTTTGAGGCCTAAAAAGAGAACGTCGCTCTATGGTTAGGACCAAAACAAAACAGTGATAGATGGGAAGATGAAGAGGGTAGTGATAAAATCATGATTATGATGATTTTAACGAACAATAAAATAGTACTGGCCCAGGTACAAGTTATAACGTTCTCATCCACAAGACAATTTTCTAGTCAATTAGACAATTTGCAATTTTATTTTGACTAAACTGTAAGAGTTGGTTATAATTTTTTTTTAAATCTCTCAGGGGGGCCCTTCAAAATTAGAGGTTCGACTTACATTCAGGTAAAATTATTGAATATGTGATAATACTTTCTGTTTGCATAAACGTAAAAAAATGTGACTTCTGAAAATTTAAAATTTGTCAGTGATGGTGACATCTGTTCAAATGGTTCTAAATGATTTTGTATTGTATTTAGTTTAAAAATTTAAAATATGCTAAGTTTTTGCAAGAGAAAACAATATTTGTTCTCTATGAAAACTGAGATGTGCAACAAACATTTTGTTTCCTATACCAAAATTTGGAATGTTTTTGAATTCAAAGGGAAGGAGAAGATATTTTTGTAAATATTCTTTGATAATTTTAATTTGTTGTTGTGTTTTCCAAATGTTTTTTTTGCCCATTTGCAGATCACTTTTCCTTTTCAATTTTGAAACTTTTCCCAGTGTCTTAGTGTGAAAACAATTGTCAGAACAGGCAGATTGCTATGATAAAGATTGCTATTTAAAAATGTTTGTTGTAAAATATGATGGGCTAGAAATTATTAAATAAAATTAATTATCAGTTAAATATGTAAAGTAACATTGACCCCATGAAATATTTTGTTCATGGTCTCATTTCAATACATCTAAGTGTATAACTTTAAACTGCTTGATCTGAAGTCACTAGGCACACTAGTTTGCTTTGGTTGTATCACAACAATGAAGCATATTGCTAATGTTTGAAAAACAAGTTTGAAAATGGTATGTTTGTGTGCATGTATGTTTTTTTAATAATTTTAGGACGGTTGTCTCTAGAGTATAGTAAAATTGAATGACAGTAATAAGTTATACTAAAAATGTTACAAAATCTTACTGCTGTTGAAATTATTTCATTAATCTAGT